TTAAAAATGTTTCCGGCACAATACGAGGTTGGTACTGAAACAGGCATAGATGTTTGTGATAAATACCACGTGGTATCACATGGCTAAGAATGGTCGAGGAGAAGTGAAACAAGCAGCGGGCATCACAGTGCTGCATCAATACTGGCAATAGTCATATCCAGCCGCTGTGGACTCGGACTTGTGGACACGTCTACAATACTCCCTGCCATGTAGCCATTGGTGGGTACATGTACTGCTAAAAAGTAAAAAAAACATTGCAGATTCTCCTCGAAAAGCAGCGAAATTGGCAGAACTTTACAAGCCTAATGGCAGGCATTTCCTTGAACTCCCCTCCACTTCTTCATCCACATACATGTACCCAACATTGCATGAACCCGCCTGAAAAGCCTTTAAGGTACAGTGCGTATCGGTTATAGTGTGGTCGTATACAAGAATATACTGCCTACAAGAATGAACACTCATTTTTTCATAATCATAACACCTATTTTATGTGTATATTTATTCTTACAAGCAGGATTATCGCATAGTAGAATATATCGGCCCTAAGAATGGATTTTGTGTAGCAAAATATGCCAGATTAGTGCAAAATGTATCGCCTGTAGTAATAACATCTGTGCTCTGTGCATGCTCAATACAATAATATTCAACACAAAAAGAGAGTTATGTCCAACTGAGCATTGGAGAATCACTTTTTCTGTCCAGTCAGACTCTTTCTTCCGACTTCTGTCCTATCTGCTGCTCCGCAGTCGCCTAGCACGACCGCGAGTCTGATCCTTGTGTATCATGATTGTGTAGACCTCAATGATTGTACGTGTCCACATGCCAAACATGTATTATGTCACACGTGCATATGATATGTCACACGTGATTTATCGTGTGTAAGAAATATCGGCAATAAGAATCAAATGTCGTTTTTCAAACACCCACGCTATAACCGATACCTACTGTAGCAGATTCTGCCAATTTTTTTTCTGCAAGCATTACCGGTATCCGCCAAGGCCTACCGCCCAGGGTTCAACAGCGTGCATCAGATATGCAGTCGATAGTCACTACTACACTAGAGGGTTCATAAAGGCACATTTGTCTGGGTGAAGTCGGAGGTTCGCCCTGTATACAAAAAAAATGTACGTTATGATTTTGCATGGCAAGACAATCCGCGATATTCATGTTAAAACAAAATGGCGTCACGATTTATTGAAAGTGGTATAGTTGGTGGTACGAGTGTTCAAAACCATTTGAACTTCATACTGTTCGTCTTCTCTTTGACATGCTCTCTTTCCATCGTCCTTAGCTTTTGTTTGTTGAGAGCTGTTTTGGCTTTCTCCTATACCTCTGGGGGATGCCAAGTGATGGTTTTGAGAGGCTGGTGATGGCTGTGAGCGAGAGTTTGCCGATTGGCGTCGTCCTCGCTATAGCGATGAAAATACTAGTTACTGCGCACCTGGCAGATATCACAACACGTCGGAGCGTCCAGGAGCAAAGGAATCTTGGGTTTTCACTGGAATCTAGTTCCTCCAGCATCGTGTAACCCACCGTCGGTGAATGGCGGTCCAGAAAGGTCGAACCTGGTCTTCTGCAGCATCTCGCAGTCCTGCGAGGCACACTGAATACGCCTGTCATGTATTCTACAAATAAAAATCACGAAGTAGTGGACTTTACAGTGATGAGTCTATCCTGTATGCTGCAAAAGACGCAGGAAATGTGACTGGTGTCTGTTCACTCAGTGACTGGACGCCAACACCCCAGTCTTCTCCTGCAGGATCTGTTTGACATTGACATTATGCAGTAGGTCGGCATTGACCTGGTTTGGCAGCTATCGTAATAGTATCTGCCTGGTTGGATGTAGCAGGTTGGTGTTTGCTCGTCGTCCAGTCCGGAATTTTCTTGTAACTCACGGTGGAGTACGCGCAGGGTTTGTGATCATCCCTGTTCACTTCAATATTATCAAACACAACGTTCCCTTTGTCACTCATCTTATCCTGAGTACTGAATTTGCTGACAATATTGCACCACACTTGTCACAACCTACCGCCACTGCTGGCAGTGGCGACTGGTTCGTCAATGGCGGTGACCAGGCTGACTGACTAGCTTCGAGACAGCGGCCTCGTTGTCAACCCCGCGGCAGCCTAAAGCCGGGTTGATTTTATCGATCCAGCCTCAGCGCCATGTTGACGATGCCCTAGTGACTGTAAGTCATGGATTGCCTTGCCATCAGCGGTCATTGCCGTCCACCTTGGTGCAGCCCTCAACAACTGGCTCAGCCCATGGGAGTCTCAAGTGGACAAAGTTGTTGCCAAAGTAGCTCAGAAGATTGGTGCATCGTGGTGTAGGTGAGCACATAACTAGGACTTCCCAGCGCCTATTTGTCCAGGCTGCGATTCTATGTGACATGCTGTACTGCACATTCTTTTCAGCACTGCAAGGCCGGCAGCTGGACCGACTGCAGGGGCCGCGCACATGCAGGCCGCCTGTTAACAGTGCAGCATTCTGGAACGTTCCTTCCTTCTGAGATCCGTGGAATAATAACTTTTTTTGCTTCAAAGCAAGTTGCTTACCTTTCTGTTGTGCTCCCAGTGTCCTTACAACAATAACCTACAGCAATGTTCTATTTTCCATTCCCCAACCAATGAATACTACGATGTTGATTATATTTCTGAATACTTTAGTGTGTGCCCGCGCACGCACGTGTGTGTGTGTGTGTATACCTCACTCGCCACTCGAAGTTCTGTTCCCCATCACTGGAACACTGCCTGTTCGTTCAGGACCTGCCATCATCTGCGGATGGGCATTCAATGATTGTATTGTGTGTGTGTTTCATTCAGAATCAGATCCGCTATCGTTGCTATAAGAGAAAATCTGTGGGTTCACATCCAGTGCATTCGTAGATTTGCGTGATTTTCTCACCACGGGCGCATACATGGGACATTGTGTGTGTGTGTGTGTGTGTGCGTCTGTCTGTATGGGGATATTGTCTGTATCGGCTTTTGGTACTAATGTTCAGGTCTGTGCTTGCATGTGTGAACATGAAATTGTTCGGTTCTGTGCATGCTATTGCTATGTTGTATATTATTGTATGTATGTGTGCATTTCCACGAACAGTGTAGATGAGCGTGGAGAGTGCATTCATCCCTCATCAACCACTTCCCCTTGGGCTTACGAGAGTTTTTTCTGCGTACCTCTCATTTTTGTTTGTTTATGTCTGATACTGTATTGATGCCGGTACCTGTAACTCGATGTGTTCCTCTATCTGCAGTCGCCTTTAACCTTCGGTCAAGTTAACGTTTATTGTGCTCTATTTATCGTGTGAATCAAAATAAACAATAATAACACAAGTCGTGCTAGAGTGACGACATGTGCGTGTAGTAGGGTTGATGCGATATGACGTTATAATTATGTGGAACAGAACACACATTGGGCAGATTGATTGGGCATCATTGATTGTGCTCAGTCTAAACAGTGAACATAATAATTATCTCCAGTGACAGACTGTAGCGGCTAGCCTCCAATAGGTAGCTGGCACTAGTCGCTACTGCTTGTTTGACAGGTGCCGCCAGAACCCCTGTTGTGTCATGCTATAGATGCACATGCCCTATTCTGGAGCATACTAAGGTACTTTGATTTTGTTGACTGCATGTAGACAGCATCCAATAGTAGTATTCGTAGACCTTGGCTCTTTGTAGGTCAACCACCATCGCATGGATCGATCGGTGACTATGCACTTGGAGGTTGGAATAGCCCGCGCTGAACAGATCTTGCCATGGCCCAGGGAGTGAACTCGCTTACTCGACTATCCCGGTTTTAGTTAACCAGCATGAGTGGTGCAATTTGTCCATACCATGTTGCGAGCTCACAGTTGTTTGGGCAGGTTTTGAGCTGCACCACGGAACAAAGCGAAATAACGGCGTGCCTGTAGAGCAAGGAAGCGGCGAGACGGCACTTCCAGGACGAGACAGGCAGTAGAGATGTGTTCACAGCACGAGCAACCTCTCAAACCCTGCCGGTACTCCACAGTAACAAGAAGAAGTCGGACTGGACGACGCGCCAATGCAAACCTGCTACATCCACCCAGGCAGATAGCTGCCCAACCAGGCCAATGTCGACCCACTGCATACCGGTATGTCAATGTCAAACAGATCCTGCAGGAGAAGACTGGGATGATATTGGCGTCCAGTGTACGGACAATAGTCACATTTCCTGCGTCTTTTGCAGCATACAGGATAGACTCATCACTGTAAAGTCCACTACTTCGTGATTTTTATTTGTAGAATACATGACAGGCGTATTCAGTGTGCCTCGCAGGACTGCGAGATGCTGCAGAAGACCAGGTTCGACCTTTCTGGACCGCCATTCACCGACGGTGGGCTACACGATGCTGGAGGAACTAGATTCCAGTGAAAACCCAAGATTCCTTTGCTCCTGGACGCTCCGACGTGTTGTGATATCTGCCAGGTGCGCAGTAACTAGTATTTTCATCGCTATAGCGAGGACGACGCCGATCGGCAAACTCTCGCTCACAGCCATCACCAGCCTCTCAAAACCATCACTTGGCATCCCCCAGAGGTATAGCAGAAAGCCAAAACAGCTCTCAACAAACAAAAGCTAAGGACGAGGGAAAGAGAGCATGTCAAAAAGAAGACGAAAAGTATGAAGTTCAAATGGGTTTGAACACTCGTACCACCAACTATACCACTTTCAATAAATCGTGACGCCATTTTGTTTTAACACGCATACGGTCCATTTTGGAAAATGGAAAAATGGGTTACGGCACGGGGTAATTGTTTCCCATGCCCCCCCCCCCCCCCCACTACTATTTTAGACGTGGCTAGAGCCCTGAGTTGGTATCATCTTCACAATGACATTATGTCACGTACAACTCCTTATTATACATGGACATGACATTGTACAAACAAGGCCGATCTAGGCACCATGTCCTAAGTCACTGTCAAGGCCTACACACACAGTACAGGAGACAGCCTACCTTCTGCTCAGCTCCATGGGGGACTGCCTTCCTGGGAACACCCACTCTGCCGATCGGAACTCTTGTTGTTTGTCTTACATGTACTTCCTCGCTCCTTGCCATTCACTGACACGAGTACCGGCGGCGCAGAGGCACTTGTATTGCAAAGGTCAGCGACTCAGAGACGAGCCGCAAATTGGATAGTGCCACAAGTACTTTACTTTGCCAGCCATATGCGCTGGTCTTCGCAGGAAACAGCAACAATTCGA